GAAAATGAATAATGGTTTCTGTATAATCTCCTTGTCTTTAAAAGGTTTTTGCTTATACTATCGTACATAATAAAATCCAGTAAGATACAACCTATTTAGACCATTGGAGACAGAAGGACAAAAGCTAGATGAGACTTCAAAACTAGATGATCTAAATCAGTATTACCTATTAAGATGTCATTTTCACCAAAATAGCTGTTCCTATCATCCAATCTTCTCTGCCTCATTTCTGTTGAGCTCTTATTCTGTCAGTAGCTGTCAGTTTGTCTTCTTCACTTTGTTCTCTGCTCCATTAGTTGTGGCCTCCACTATTTCTGGATTCTTTGTATTTTTCTTTTTTTAGAATATCCTGCAATACTCTCTGTAGAGTTGAATTGGTGGTTGCAAATTCCCCCAGTTCCTCTTTATCCTGGAAGCACCTTGTTTTTCCATCAATTTCCAGGGACAGTTGTGCAGGATATCTCAATCTTGGCTGGAGATTATTATCTTTCAAAGCTTGAATTATTTCCCCCCACGCTCTTCGTGATTTGATGGTTTGTGCAGAGAAGTCTGCTGTAATTCTGATGGGTGTTCCCTTGTAAGTGATCTGTTTCTTGTCTCTGACAGCTTTTAATATTCTGTTCTTGTATTGAATTTCTGGAATTTTTATTATTATATGCCTGGGTGTTTCTCTGTTAGGGTTGTAGGTGGCTGGGGTCCTGTATGCCTCATACATCTGAGTATCTTTACCTTTTGCTAAATTAGGAAAATTCTCCTGGATTATTTCTGTGAGTAGCTTTTGTAGTTCATTTGTTTGTGTCCCTACTTCTTCTTTTATGTTCTTAATCCTTAAGTTATGGATCCTCTTATCATCTTCTTGTCTTTGTATTATTGCTGTTTGTTTCTTTGTTATTTTTAAGAAGTTTTTCATTTCATTCTCCCATATTACTATTCTGCCCTCCAGTTCAGATAGTCTGTCCTTAGTTTCTTTCAAGCTGTTATGCCAGTCTTCGATAGACTTCTTAGTTTCTTGGTAGTCCCTTTGAACCTGCTTCACGTATTCTATGCTTTCCCTGTTTTCTCCATCAAACAATTCTCCCCTCTTTTTCTGTTCTTCCATTCCACCATCTGTTTTTTCTTGGGTGGGGCTTAGCATTTCTCTAACTATTTTGCATACTTCTAGCTTCAGGTCGTTGATAACTTCATTCCTGAATTGGTCTATGAGGCTCTCTATATGGTGCTTTATGTGTATTGGTGCGGTGTCCGCTATTGCCTGTTTCTCAGAATTGGGGGCCGAGGAGCCTTTCTTGTTGCTGCCTCTTCCCATATTCTCTGTTCCTTATATATGCAAGCTTATATGAGAGGCCCAGCTTCTCTCCCTGTCAGCCACAGCCTGATCGAATTGCGCCGGTTAGGTGTTCCCACTCACCGCTGCGCACCAGGCAGCCTACGCGGGGGTCCGCCCCTCCGGCCTCCGTCAGGCTCTGGGATCTGGTTTGGGCCAGCCTATGGGGTCCGCCGGCAGCGTCACGCAGGCCAGGCACTTTTCACCAATCCCGCCTGAGAGGGGAATGTGTGGCTGGAGTCGCCACCGCGCCCTGCTCCCGCAGGACTGCTCGGGCCCAGAAAGTCCGCTGGAGTCAAACTGTGGTGGAGTGTCAGTTTCTCTCACTCACCTCGCCACAAGTCAGAACATGCCTCCCTGCCTGTCCTGTTTTCGACTCCGTTCACAGACTCCTGTTCTCAGAGTTTCCGCGCGTCTCTCTCCTTGCCGAGCCGATGTAGAGGCAGCCAGCCGCCGCACGGCGGGAAACCCAAATCGCGGCTTCCAATGGCGCAGGGTCCAGCCTCAGCAGCGAGACTTTTCTGTTCCTGTTTTAGCACCAGGACTGCATTCCAAGTTGGTTTCTCTCAGCCGAGTTCGTTCCTGAGTCAGCAGAGCATAACTCCACCTGCTTATGTCTCTTTAGTCCGCACCATATCTGGCTTCTGAGCCTAGTTTTTCAGAGAGCCTCCGGTAGTTGCTGTTATCTGTCTGCCATGTTCTCCCGGAAGTCATGTATTTGTTTATTTCATTTGCTATCTTTTCAGAGATTTGTGGTATAAGACTTTTAAAGTCCTCTATTTCACTGTTGCCTATTTTTGCTCCTGATGAACTAGATGTTTGAGATTGCATTTTGCTTTTTCATTTTGTCATCTTCACCCTCTGGACCAATATCTGGTTATTCAATCTTAACAGTCACAACTGTCAGCAGTGTGTCTCCTAGGGTCCTACTGTGTAGTTGGTGTCCATCCAATTGTTGGATACATAGTGATGGGAACCTGCCGAGGTCCTCCATCTGGGCAAGGGGCCACTGAGTCTCCCGTCAAACCAACATAGCCAGTTCACTGCAGTTCAAGGTTCTGGGAGGGAGAGGGGGAGCCAAACATTCACAGCAGTGGTTGATCTAAGAGATGGGGAGGATAGCCAAGAGCAGCGGGCCAAGCTAGGTGGGTTCAGCAATCTTCTTCCAGGCTGGCACATGGGGGAAGCGCACCAGGGCACAGGAGTGCATATGGAATCTTGAGGGAATAGCCAAAGCAAACTTTTGTTTTAAGTTTTAGAGATTGAACTTATGGCCTCACACGTGCTAGACAAGCACTCTATTGTTATGCTATATCCTTTACCCTTTTTAGAACTTTTCAGTTTGAAACAAGGTCTCAATAAATTTCCCAGATTTACAATTTTCCTGTTTCAGCTTCCCAAGTAGCTGGGACTACACATGTGTACTACCTTGTTCAGTCCAAAAGAATCTTGAAAAGGTTAACAAAGTTGAAGACCTGATACTTCCTAATTTCAAAATGAACTACCAGGCTAAAGTAACTAAGATGTATGATACTGACATATAGACATGGACACATGCACATGCACACACACACACACCCAGTGGTACAGAATAGAAAGCCTAGATATAAACTTTTGCATATATGGCCAAATGATTTTTAACAAGGGTACCAAGAAACAAGACCATACAATGGGAAATGGATGGTCTCCTCAACATCCAGTGCAAAAGAATAAAGTTGGACTCATATTACTCAACATACAAAAATTGGCTCAAAATGGATTAAATATAAAATGTAGGACTGAACAATAAAACTTCTAGGAAAAAAACACATAATAGAGCAGTGTAGTTATTGAGGGTGAAAAGTTTCAACTTCAAGACTGAATTTGGCAACAATGTCTTAGTTATGACAACAAACACAGGAACAAAAACTAAAAGAGAAATGGAACTTCATCAAAATTAAAACTTCTGTATCAAAAAAAAAAAAACCAATGATACAAGACAGGCAATTTACGTATAGGAGATATTTTCAAATCACATGTTTGATAAAGTTTTAGTATTCAGAATATATACAGAAATGTTACAACTTGAAAAAACCCAAATGACTCAATTTAAAAATGGCAAAGGATTTGAATAGGCAATTCTTTAAAGATTTATAAATGACCAAAAGATATATGAAAGATGCTTATCTTCATAAATCACAGAAATACAAATGAAAACCATGAGCTATCACTCAATACCCGTTAATACAGCCACAATGACAAAGACAGAAAATAATATAGGGAAACTGGGACCCCTGTGCACTACTGGGGAGAATCCAAAAAGTGTAGTTATTCTGGAAAACAGTATGACAGTTCCTCAAAAAAAATTTTTTTATAAAACTATAACTCAGCAATCCCACTTCTGAATATAAACCCAAAAAGATTCAAAGCAAGATGTCAAACAAATATTTGTGCACTCATGTTCATCCTAGCATTACTCACAAAAAGCAAAGTAAATGCCAACGGATGGCTGAGCAGTACGTCAATGCAGTAGAGAGATACAAGAGAATCGTATAAAGCTTTAATGAAGGAAATCTTACCATTCGCTACAATTTGATGGACCTTGTGGACCTTGTGGACATTAACTAAACCAATCGCAAAAGAACAAACACTATATGATTCCATTCATCTAAAGTAGTCTTAGAGATGGGAACTTAGTATTTAATGAATATAATCTTAATTTTTCAAGATGAAAATGTTCTAGAGATCTACAGTACAACAACATGAATATACTTGATTCTACTGAATCATATTCTTAAAAATGGCTTGGCTTGTTAAAACATAGCTGGCAATGCCTATCAATGTTATATATTGTTAATCACATATTTGAAATAAAAATCTTAGTGATTTTTTAAAGCCTTTTTTAAAATGAGAGAGTAAGAATGTCACTATTAGAATCTGGAGAATGAAGGATGTTAGCAGCAAGAATATAAATTACTATGTCCAAGATGAGTGAGAGTGATTATTTGTTCTTTTCCATGAAGAAATCTATTAAATTATAACAATCAGTGAACACAGTTCATCTTGCAGTATACATGTGAAGGATGAAAGAATGTCCTAGAACTAGATATAATAAGGCATGGTCATATTGCACAGATAGCTGAGCTCAAAGGCTAGCATTATCAGCTGGCTGTGGTGGTGCATGCCTATAATCTCAGTACTCAGAAGGCTGAGGCAAGAGGATTACCATGAATTTGAGGCCACTCTCGGCTACAGAGAGTTCAAGAACAGCCTGGACTACATGTCAAGACCCTGCCACCTCAGAATACAAAAATAAAAACAAAAGCTAGCACTACCAGTGATGAGCCGGGGAAAACTGGGAAAGCTACTCTAACCTCTCCAAGACTCATTTTCTTCACTTGTACAATGATAAAAATAATTTATATCACATATTCTAATTTTTTAATAGTTTTATCACCTTAGGAGTCAAGGTTTCCCCAAACTGAAAATAAACAGCACAAAAACTAGCTGGAGAAAAACCTAAGAAAGCTGCCCTAATCTCTCCAAGACTTGTCTTCCTCACTTGTACAAGGATAATAATAATTTATAGCACATATCCTCATTTTGCATTTAGTAGCTTTCCCATCTTGGGAGCCAACGTTTCCCAAAACGGAAAGTAAATAGCACAATTTGAAAACTCATGACAACAGTAACCTACCGCTGATTCACAAAAGGGCTGGAAAGCTCAGCGAGCAGTCGGAAATTTGCGACGTACAGCAGCACTTCACACCTCTGGATGATAAACATAAGACACAACATGAGAGATAACATTTTTATCAAAATAAAGGGCTCCAGAAACATTCAATAGATGTAGTAATCAATATAAAGATAGATTAAGAAGTTTTCTACATTTTATAATGAACTGATTTTCTTCCTTATGAGAATTTACAAAGTATGTTCTTAGAATCCTACAGCATTTTTAAGATAAGGTATGCTGTACACTTGTATTCACTAATGCATGTAGAGTTCACTTAGAAGAACGGATTTCAAGCAGTTGTCTTACACTGTATGGCAAGACGTACATAATTACATGCGCAGATACGTATTTGCCAAGTATAACGACATGCCACATCTAATCTATCGTACTGGACCTAAAAATAATATATTTGTTAATGAGAATATCCTAGAGCTAACACATACACCTTCAAAACCTCCTAGATTTAAACACAATACCTAATACATTGTTTCAGTGTATTAGTATGAAAAGTACAGCAAAGTTAATACACTTTGAGAAGGAAACCAAAATAGACTTTAAAATCACTACTAGGTAATAGTTACTATAAACTTCCAATTAAATCAGAATTAAGATTACATGCTAAAAATTTAGTTCTGTCCACGCCTGATATATTAGATTCTACACACAAAACTGGAAACTTTTTCTACTGGATATACGATGCTAAATGGGAAAAACAGGAAGTATTAAAAAAATTTAACTTTCTAATTTGAAGATTCTTAGCACTTATCTGTGTAATAGTAAGAAAAATTCAAAATTCAGAATAACAAATTAGCTGTTTTAAGGTTGAAAACTTTTTATAATCTCAAATTCATTGCCGTCAGTGACCCTGGAATGTATACAAATAAGAAGGGAGGAGGGAGGGCCAAAGAGACAAAGGGGCAGGCAAGATGAAGGTACATTCGCAAGGTTGGGTGTGGGGCATCAGCGAGCCAACCCGCACAGCCATGCTAGTCCAAAAACAACTACGGATGAGAAAGAATTATGCACAGGTTTTATTACATTAATATAAAAAAACAATGTGGCCAGGTGTGGCAGCACACACTTGTCATCCCAGCACTCAAGAGCCTGAGGAAGGAGGATTGCTGTGAGTTCTAGGACAGCCTCGGCTACAAAGTTAGTTCAAGGCCAACCTGCACTACTAGCCAGATCCTGTCTCAATAAATAAATAAAGTTATAGTAGCAATTAATAGTAACAAGACTAATTATACAACTAAACTGAAAAATGACAGGTTTTTTTCTGTTCCTTTAACTCTGTTGGATATTTAAGTTTAATAGGTTATACTATTGAGTGGTTTTTGTTTTGTTTTTGCTTTTGCAGTACTACGGATTGAACCCAGGACCTTCACACTGAATTACATGCTCAGTCATTTCCGTCCCTTTTTCATCTGGAGACAGGATCTTGTTAAATTACTAACTTGTCCAGGCTGGGCTCCAATTTGCCATCTTCCCACCTCACCTTCCCAGAATGGTAGATTACAGTCATCTACTAACATGCCTGGCAATCAGAAATGTTGCTAATACGATCCCCTCAAGCAGTAATGAATGTATTCAATGACTATGCAGTCTTGTTTCTTAAAGACAAATTTTCTCTCATTCATAACATTGTCTTTCTACCCTTCAGTTAAAAGCAACTCTTTTTCCAGTCTATTTTTCTTCACAACTTTCTTCTTTTGGCTAGTTCTTCTAAACTCTTCGGCATTCTATATAGTTAGAGAATATGACAGACCTGACTTCTTCTAAATACTATGAGCTAATGGGTTCCTAAAATCAGCCAAAACTTCTAAATACTTTGAGCTAATGGGTTCCTAATGTCGGCCAAAACCCTTCCTAAATTATATACTGTATCTTTCAAATAACTATTTTTTTCCAACACAAGATCCCTTACTGAAAAGTAAAATATTTCATAAAATACCTGAAAGTCATTTCAGATGTTAAAGTAATATAACAATGGACTTAGTCTTAATTATACTTTTAAAATAGTTCTAATATTTCTCTCCAGTTAAGTTTAAAAATACAAACTATACTCATAAAATATACTGCCTAAAACGTTTTGACAGTTTAAAAGATTATTTCTAACTTCTTTTAAATTAATGTAGAATTAAAATAACTATTAGCCAAAGTGCCAAATTAGTATCAGATAAAATGTGAAATTATGATATTCTTTATATATTAAAAATTATTATTAAAAATAGTAAATCTGATATGCTGTATTCATCAACTAACTTTGGCCAAAGTACAAATTCTCTACACTATGAGAAAAACTTGCGATTTTCTAAAAGTAAACAAAACAAAAATAAAAATAAAACCGAGGTATATCCTGACCCTTCTCCTAATTCTCACTCTTCCCAAACAGAATGATTTGTTCTTGTATTTAGAGCCCAGTGGCTCTGAGTGTGGGTCCTAGAGCAGAAGCCTCAGCATCACTTGGGAATGTGTCAGATATGCCTGTTCTCACGTCCCATCCTAGATAATGAATTGGAATCCATGGTGTTGGGACCAGAAATCTGTGTATTCACAAGCCTCTAGGTGACTCTAATGTGATTCTCGCAATTCAAATGTGAGAAGTGCTGTCTTAAGCTAGAGATGACTAGTGTTCTCTATATGCCCAGAGAAGCTAGCTTACTTCACTGTGATTAGTGAAGGTTTAAAAATGCCTCCCCCCAGATCCTATAGCAGTATTAAAGAGGACCTGCTACAATGATTCTAGAACAATTTTTTTTGACCCTTAAGCTCTCACTTGAATCAAATGTCTCCAGAGGTTTCTCAGCTTGTCCATTAGAGTACTTGCACCTTGTAAATTATATCTGCCTGCCTGCCTGCCTGCCTGCCTGCCTGCCTGCCTGCCTATCTATCTATCTATCTATCTATCTATCTATCTATCTATCTATCTATCTATCTATCTCCTTGTGCCTCATTCACTGTGAAAGCCTAGCCAGAAGGCTGGCCATTTCTTGAGTTGAACTTCACCTGGTCACCGGTTAATTAAACAATTACATCACGAATAAAGTCAAAAGCACATTTATTATTGAGGAAAGGAAGGCAAACAGAAGTAATACCTACAGGTTAAGTCCTCTTCCATCAGGACAAGCAGATGTTATCTAACATTGCTGTCTGCCATGGACAAATCAAGAGGTGGAAAGTCTCAAAATGGCCACCATCAACTCCTTCCCTCCCTAGTATGTGCATAATGTTCTTCATATCATGATTAAAATCTTATTTCTCTCCTCTTGAATCTGGGCTACTCTTTGCAAGTCCCTTGACCAATAAAGTCAGTGGGATTTAGGTTCTAAGTCTTTGGAAGTTTTCTCCCAGATCATACTTAAATGATCATACTTAAAATGCTCCCTTTCAGAACACATTTGCCAGATTGTAAGAAGCCCAAGCTTGACAGAGGGGCCCATTTAGATCTTCCAGTCTGTAGTTCTTACTGAGCACTCAGAAGAGAGTCTTAACAACTGCCAGCCACTTAATGACTACATCAATATCTCCTAGGTAATACCCTCCCCCACTCAGATTTTTTCCTTTTATATCATCAGTTGTATCCTTCTAATATGCAAATGCATGAATGTCTTCTTTTGTTAAATATTCTACAACTATTCTATTAAAGGAATAATTCAAAGCTAGCAAGTTGAAATTTTCATGTCATTTATCAGTTGGTCCTATTTTTTCACCCCCAAGTACACTAACTCCATGAATATGCAAATCCCAAACCCTGACACCCCAACTCCTGAATATCCCCCAGAAAGAGCTCTTGTCTTCCCCCAATGATTTTCCTTATGTTTTCTGACCTAGGAAGCACCTTCTTTCCATTTTTCTGCCAATGTAAGTATGCACATTTTTTTCAAAGTGCAATTCAACTCCCACCTATCTCAAAAATCTAACGCTGAAAATTCCAAAAGCCTTAAATATACACAAGAAAATGCAGGTGAAGTTTATATAAGCCGTAAATATATACATTAAGTACTGTCAGTAGTTTTTTTCTGGAGAATCAGACATAGAAAATGTTTACTAAGCCCCAAATTTCTAAAACTTCAATTTTCCTACAAACACTTAACGTGTGGAGAAAAAAATCAACACAGCGATCTTTGCATTCCCATAGGCTCCACAGCACATATCCTCATTCGCAACCCTCCACCCCTTATTTCAAAAATCACCTAAATTTATCATTCCCTGTAGTCCTAATTCCAACACATAAATTAATCCTTTTCCACTCAATAGCCCTTTCACATGTCTAGGGACATTTTTAAAGTTATCATGTCCTCTTTCTTGTCTTTACCACATTGGTATCTCTGGGTTCTTGAATCGATAATTTAAAAAAAATGAAACAGTTAATCTAATCTCCCGTCTATGGTTAACTGGATGATTTTCCTAATGGTTCTCCCCAAAGGTACACAATATTAAAGGCTCTGGGTAATGATAGTACTAGCTGTGGCCTGGCCAGGCAAACTTCAACATGTTTCAATTAGATACTGCACTTCGCCTAATGGATTCTTTAATTTGAAATCAGCTTTCTTTGTTAGAAGATGTGAAGTGCAGTTTGAACAACTTAAGTGTAGTCCATCTACCACCTTCAGCTCATTCTCTTTCTCACATATGTTTAAACCTAAATGCAAAGCTTAACATTTATCACTACTAAATGCCACCTATTTGTTTCAGTCTCTTATTCCAGGTATGAGACTTTTTTAAAAAATGGAATACATTGTCCAACATATTAGTTAGTATTAGTTCTCCTTCCTAAATTTGTGTCACTCATTTGATAAGTTTACTCTTCACCTTTTCTAGTATGGTTAAACATAGAACAAAATTCCCTTCTGATAACTTTAAAATGTGCTATTCAGAGACATTAAGTACAATAAGTACATCATCACTATCCATCTTCAGAATTTTTCAAATTCCCAAACTAAAACTCTGTATTCATTAAACAGTAATTTCTATTACTTCTGCCCAGCCCTTGGTAATCTCATTATCCTATTTTCTACCCCTATGAATTTTATCATCATTATCATAATCATCGCCATCATCACCAGCATTATAGGTACCTTACATAAGGAAAACCATATGATAAACTTGCTTTTTAAAGAAAATTGAAGAATAAAATACTGATTAGAGTAAATATGGCAATTTTATCAGCTGACAGCTGATAAAACACACCCATGTCCAATTTTTCAACTGTTTCTTTTCAGCATAATGAAAGAAAAAGAGAATTTAAAAAATCAAGCAAGATTAAAGAAAGCGAGATGACTGACCTACATAATTCCATTATATAGACTGAAGGAGATACTATGTGACCAAAAAGAGACATGACACAGTAACCAAAGTACACGTTGGTAAACCTGGATTGGAACTCCCAAATAAAAACTGAGAAAGGGCATAGAGGAGAGCTTTGCTATGTTTGGAAATTATGCAAATAGTCACATTAGACATTCTATATTAAACAGTAATGTTGAAATAAATTCTAAAACAAGACACCTTGTGTATATGTGTAAATGTAAAAATTTCATATGCACTTTTTAAACCAATTACTTAGTAGTATTACCATGGCCAATCCCTCAATTAATAATGAGTTATAAGTACTACTTGTATATTTCTCCTTTAACATAGATTTCTATCAGTTATGGAGTAACAAATGAGTGACAGAAATTCAAGAAAATAATTAATTCCCAAAATTTAGTTCTGTGTTTGTTGTTCATTAGTGTAAAAGAAAAAAAAATGTTTTATTTCAGTAGAAAAGATTATTTAATAAGTTATTCATGTTTTAAAAATAATTTTCATTATTTAGGTGTCTAACATGGTTTAGTAAATATAATGCCATGTGACAAATAAAAATCATAGTGACAATAATAGTCAATCGCGTTGAGAGTTACACTAGCTATTTTTAACATCTACCTAATTTTGAAATTTTGTTATCTTCCAAAATGTTACTCTAACAGTTACTATAGTTACCTAAATTTTTTTAGATATCCTAAGTTTTTTAGATAACCTAATGAAAAGAAAAGGAAGAGGTCACTAGTTAAGTAAAGTTGAGAACAGGCAATAATTTTAAAACAAAGAGTTTTTCTTTTGTAACCCTTAGTGATAAAATATTAGGGAGTTGGTTTATTTTAAGCACTGTTGAGAAGACTTTTTAACACTAAACTTCACTAAATCTGACATAACAAATCTTTCATTTTCAATACTAGTTTGTACATATTTACTTGCAAATGCTTTTAAAATATAAACACTGAGCTGACAGTACTAGCTTTGTTTGTACATATGTGCAAGTAAATATGTACAAACAAAAAAGAGATTCTCATCTAATTTAAGGCATTGTGCTGCACCTAGTATCCTTAAGTAAATGCATAAAGACCCGCTAGAATCTAAATTTTCTTCCCAAATTGCAGCAGAATAGTTTAAATAGTTTAATGATCAGAGTAGTATAACAATGCAGAAGGATGCATACTGAGTGATTTTCAAGCTTATATTTTTTTCAAATGTAAATCATTATATACAAGCATGGTTTGAATACAGATAGAGGAGGTGATTCACTGGGAATAGACAAGAGAGTGCACTGGGGAAATCAGTAAGAGTAACCAAGGATAGTGGATTATCTTTGAAAACACTATCAAAACACAAATGAGTTCATTTCCTTTCCTATAAGAGATCAGTCTGCCATGTTTTCCTTGGTAACTAGTATCTTACTATAAGGGTGAAAGTTGAATATCAAGGGAAATATTTTTAAAATTTTTTACTTATCTACATAGTCAGAAGAGGGTTTTTTAAGCTCTAAATGACTGTTCCAGAAACTTAACAACAGAAAATATAGCAAAGAGGGCTACAAAAATTGTGTTGGAGATATTATACAACCTATATGTGCCATATAAATTCCTCAACCCAAAAACTTTATTATTCATTTATTATTTTTTATTTATTTTCACTGTAGGACATATATTTCAAACCTACAAAAAGTGTGCTTCTATTCATCAGTCTACATTTTTTTGGTGCCAATAATGAAAATCACTTAAGAAAAAAGTTTAAATGGTTTCAAGTATTAAGTCAAAGTGCTTTCAAATACAGATATCAGTTCTCATAAGTGATAATCTCATGACCATTTACCCCAGAACATAATAATTATCTTTTTGTTAGCCTTAGAATAATAAAATTCAAAGTGAGCTGGAAAGACAGTGCATGGGAAAAACTCCTTTTATATTCATTATATAAATGCAAGGCCTGTAAATAACACAGCAACTCTTTATCTATAAATATTCTTCTTTTCATCTTTCTTTTCTATTTTGTTCTCTATGAATAGGTTCACTTTACATAAATTTTTCACACTAAAACAATGAAACATAGGAAGATATATCAAAGGAGTAACCATCTCTAGAAAAAGCTGCAAAGGATTCTTCTACTCATTAACTACTGAATAACACATTAATTCATTTTTCAAAACTCCAGCATGCATTTGATTTTTTTAAAGGCATGAAAGTCAAAGAAACTAGCATTCACCTCACATAATAAACATTCAACTTGCCAATCCATGCACAGCCAGTCATTTGCCAAGTCTTGTGATTTCAGTGGCCATTGAGACAGAACAGCAGTTCAAATTATTCACATTTTTTAAAGTACATTATCTTTCACTGGTTTATATTTATCCTTTTTGTAGTACACTGATTATTTGTGACTCAGAGAATATACTTCTAAATTGAAGAACAGTATTAAACTCATACATCCTTAGCAAAATTAATGGATATTTTCTTAAGTGGTTTACATGTCTTTTTAGCAGAGGTACTTAAGAAACAAGACCGAAAAATGGTACACATCTGTAACATGCATAATTTATTAAAAACTTTAAAGGGGGAAATAAGAGTAGAAAATGTCACAGAAACAGCCTATTATTTCAGAAAAATAATGTGACTATGTATACCATTTGATACATAAACATTGTAAAAGCAGGGTTTTTAAAATGTATAACTTTATTTTGCAGCTTTGAATTGATAATAAGAGAGATGCTTTGATATATTTTAATATATCTGATTCTTGTAGAGATGATCCCAAATCAACTTCTTATTTACTAGCTACTTTCATGTATGTAAAAAAAAACAATATATATATATAATTAATATATATTTATATAGATTTTTAAAAATAGTTATAAATATCCAGTAGCATGTAGGTTTTAGTAAAAAAAGAAGAAAAAGAAAAAGAAAAGAAAAAAAGGCCAGAGGTTACACAGGATTTTAAAGGAGAGAAAATATGGAATTTCATACTATATCTATTACATAAAATTCTAATTGACTCATTACTTATAATTCTGTATCTTGAGCTTGTTGGTATAGTATATCCAGGTTAAAAAATAATGACTATTGATAAAGCTAACAAACATGAAAGAGAGTTGTATAGAAGTTGTATATGAAGAAACATAATTTTAGGCAGAAAATTTAACATGCTTTTGCATCTGAGATTTGTTTCAAGAATTCTCTATTCATTTTTCAGCCAAGCCTACCTCAATTCACAACTTCTTGGGTGGCTGAGGAAAGAGGACTGCTTGAGCCCGAAACTCAGGGCCAGCCCAAGCAAGACATTGAGATACCACCTCTTAAAGAAAAAAAAAAAAAAACGTCTTGGAATTCTGATGAAGTCTCTAAGCAGGATTCTCCTATTCCTTCAGCCTATTTAAATGTAATTTTGCACGCATAACAATCTTGTCTGCTAGTTAGGCTACTGTAAATCCTGTCACTTACCAACACACTGAAGTATGCATATATTGCCGTACAATGGTGAATTATGAAAAATTTGTCACCAATCACTTTCCAATAGTAAATGAGAATCAACAAATCTGTAAGAAGGACAAATAAATAAGACATTACACAGGAAGAAAGTTGCAACATTTTTCAAGTATATTTAATTCTTCACCATCCACTCTGGGCCATAATACTTTGTTCACCTCTCAGCTAGTCGAATTACCCACTTTCTCACATAGTATCTGTTCCAGTATTATCTGAATTTCCCACTGTGCTTCCTTCAGGGCAAGGAACAGACTGCATCTTTATATACTTGGTCTCTACAAACACCCAGGATTCACTGTGTAATATAATATTTGCTGAAAGTATACATGAGCAACTTGTTTCCAGGATTATATAAAATGAAAATACTTTAAAATAAGTTTCAATTACTGATTTTTTCAACTACAATAATGGAAATAGATAAGATGGTGGTGGAATATAAAATAACTCATTTATAAGTTCAATACAAATTTAAATTGACGGAGGCAATAACTATTCAAATTTATAAAATCACTGAGAACTATGATGATTAAAAAGACAAAGAAAAAGATGAAGACATTGATTACTCTTTAAAAATTTTTAGGAATAAGTATCATAATCCAAAAACATAGTTTAACAAAACAAACTGCTAAAATGCTTACACAACTATTTTCTTTACAAAATGGTTAAACATGAACTATAAACAGGGAAACTCCATCAGGGTAGAACTCAAAGGTTTTGTGGGTACAGACTGTATAATGTAGGTACATTCATTTATAAAAATATTACTAATAAACTAGATACAAATATTTTTAAAAATGAATCAAATCACACATTTTAAAGAGAAACCAAATACTGCAAAAAATGTGGAAAATCAAAAATTATATTTTCAGTAGTTAATTTCCTTATGCCTCGCTCCAAATTATTTTCCCTACATATTTTAACTGTTTAGTCGCCAATGACATGATAACAATTTTATAATAGGTATAGAGAGCATAAGATAAATTCCCTTGTTGTAATACTGAGGATTGAAACCAGGGCTTGGCACATGCTAGGTAAGTACTCTAGTCCTGAGTTACAGTCCTAGCCCAATTCACTTTTGGTTTAGAAAAGTTTGTTTCACTTCATTATTCTAGATTGTGTTTTCTTTTTTGAATTGTTACCTTTTTTGGGAAATTTTGAATGAAGTAATTTTCATATAAGAGCTCCTGATAGTAGGAAGTAGGAAGATAGATCCTTCTCAAAGAGGAAGAGGATCAAGAGAGAGATAAGGAGGGGTAAGACGAGGGATACTGGATGTAAAAAAGGAACTTCGATGTGTTATACATATACCAACTACACACAAGGAATGTAAGTATTACGTACTGCAAACATGTGATAAAAAAAGATTATTGGATGGGCAGATGGGAGAGGAAGGGAAGGGAAAGAGACTAAAAAACAGAATTAAAAATGTGTTTGTTATATACATGTACCAACTTCTCACAAGGAATGCAAACATTATGTACTACACACATGTAGAAATAAACCAAAATATAATTTAAAAAATAAAAATCAATACGCCAGAGAAATATCAAAAAGAAACACGAAACTATTAGCTGTATTACTTATAGATGGCAGAGTGATGCATAATTTTTATTTGGTTCTTCATACTTTGTTTCATTTCCCGAATATTCTACTATAACATCATTATATTCAGAAAATGTTATTTTAAGATGGAAAGAAGTGATTATAGCATAAAGAAGTCAGTAGATGCTCAGATTTGTTTCCTATTCAGAGATAACAGACTAATCAGATTTTAAATGTGTTCCTATTGCTTTTGCTATGCTAAAGACCATTCTCAGAATTTATTTATATCAAACCTGTGAAAATGGGCTTAATCTCAAGTTTCTAAACCTTTTGGGGGGGAGGGGAATGGTGCACCTACTGATTTGATAATACAAATAAAACTGTGGCTGAAACAAAAAAAAACAAACAAACAAAAACAGAAAAAGATCCCTTGGGGATAATTATTCTCAGAATGATAACACTCATTATCTATGCATTTGGCATATTATACATTGTGTGTCAGTGTTGTCAATGATACTATTTTCCATCAGATAAGCAAATCTTTTCCCAATGTGTTCATGATTTGTTTTTTAATTGAACTATCAAATAATCCAATCACTTATTATTTTTCAAATCTTATCTCTTCCTCTTAATGAATTTTTTGTTTTGATCTAGTTATTTTTGACACAATATTCTTCTTGATGGCAAAAAATTTCCTACTGAATTACTCACTTTTACTCCTTTGTTTCATATTTCAATATTTTTATTTGGATTTTCTTTCAGTCACCTTAGAAGTTTACATTTAACTAAATTGTTCTAATACAAATATCCAAATTATGACTCTGAGCGTCTTTTTTTTAAGATGGTCTAAATATCTTCTCAAATTACAGTTAATGTAGAATATTCTCATCTTCTTTTGGACTCACTGCAAGAAAAGCCACTCCAATTTCATGCAACATGAGACAATATAACAGAGCAGAGTGATCTTAACTATTAGCTAACATAGCTTACTCTTGTAAATCTTACCAAAACAGTACCCAACTATAACCAATAGAACACATATCAAGGCCCTTAGCAAGTGAGGAATCCTAAGGCTTAAACTTAATTAGCCTTACAATAATTACACTTTAGAAATTCTTAAGAAGAAAATAGTGTCTTTCAAAAAAAAAACAAAGAGTCCAGGCCTACATATTTTAAGGTCCTGGAGCATAATTCAGATCTTCAGTGGGCATCAGGCCAAGAAAAAAAAGTTTCAGATTCTATCACCATTAAACATAATATTTTTGTCTATATAAATTCTAAAACATATTCTTAAACTAAAACTATAGAGTATGTATTTTTGCATAATTCATGAGTTTAAATAGCACCAGACAATGAGCAACATACCACATACCAGAAATGAGGTAGCCTGAAGCAGTAGCAATATTCAGTTTCACAAGTAATGAATCGCCCCTATAAATATCAAGAAAAAAATTTTAAGTACATAGTTTATAGATGACAGCTGTATTTTTCCTGTGAGATTAAACATAATGACCATCATTCTTAACCATTTTTGTTGCCACTCCTGTCTCTCATAGGCCTTCATTTAACACTTGATTTAAGGGAAACTTTATGAAGCCCAGCCCACCAAAAGTTATGACTTGGGAGAAGAAATTATGGAATAAAGTTACTGACAGATGTGTTGCCAGTGCACTACAAGCAGCCCATATGGACAAGCAATGCTTATTTAAGGAAAGCTTTACTGCTGAACATTAGAGACTGGGGCCAAAGTTTCTAAAGGAAATAGACCCACAAAAATTCAGATTGGAATTTGGGGTTGGAGAGTTATATGCTCCAGAAGATAACATGGCTGTATGTGAATAAATGCCAAAATAAGACATCCTCTAAAAATAAGCCTATTGTATTGTATCTTTGAGAGCAAAAACTTAGGAGACTTGCTCTGATTTTCAGGAAAATACAGTAAACTCCTCTCACAACTTCATTTATGCTTCTCATGTCATCTCTTTGATATCAAGACAATGAGTCAAAAATAAATCTGAAGGCAAAGTCTGAAGTAAACATTAACCTAGCCAACTATACTATTTCAGTAAATAATAATTCAGATTTGCTCATGGCAATGGTTACAGTATGTTGGCTTTATTCATTAACACTATATGAATGCTTATCTTAATGTGATCTGTTTTGGATAACACAATACTAACAAGGCAGAATGGGCTTCATTATTTATACTCACATCTAACATCATTTTAATGTTCTTTGCTGAGTAAGCCAAACTACAAGCATTTTAATAAAGCATATACTATAAATATATTTTGTTTTAAAGTAAAATGACATTTGCATTAACAATTTGAAAACACAGATCAAACTGACTAGCTTAGAAAGAAACAGCTTACCAAAGTGGGTCAGCTCTAGTAGGCTCATCAAAGAAGCAAATATATAGGGCCAAAATCCCAACCCCCAAAGAATGGCATGTAGATACTACCCTGAAATTAAACAAAGTACATATTAAGGTTTTAGATTCCTTGTAATAAACTTTAACTCATTCCGATATGACATTTAACATTCTGAAAAAATTACACAGTACTTCGGAGCATTAACACATACAGGGAGAGAACATCTGAGAGTACAATAAAAAATTGCCATTTAGAAATCCGAGGGTCGCAATTTTACTTTGGAATGAGTAAGAGGAAGAATGCCAAGATCTATAATTTCATGCTAGAATACTAGTGAATCATTTCTTGGCCAAAAGTTATAAAGCAGAAGCATATGTGGTGGTCAGTTAACAGTCTTGTGCAGTGATGATGACTGGCAAGGTTGCTGCCCTGTCCCTCGCTCTGTGCACCATCCCCAAAGCACTGCTGTAGGGTATCTTTTGCTGCACTCAGCTGACAATGACTCCCAAGCCTACTGACCTTTCCCAACTCTTGTTCTACCTTCGTTTGCTGCAGTGAGCCTGTGGTCTCATGTGTTATTCAAGCTACAGCCTACAGGTACCTACAGCCTACCTATATATTCTTAAAACAATTTGAATGGATCATGACATGGAACTTTATTATCCTGGGAAGTTTCAGTTTTAAAAATACATTCACATTGCCTTATTGAACTTGATTCAAAAGAGCATTTCAAAATAGAAAAACCATAAGTTTACATGGTTTTGCTACTTATGTATTGATGTGGTATGAAGCCTTGCTGTGTTGCACAGGCTGGCCTCGAATTCAGAATCATCCCAAGTAGCTGAGACCACAGATACACACCATGACAGAGCTGGAAAATCCATGTTTGAAATGAAACACTCAAATGAAAGCAAAATGTTCACAAGATTCAGTTTTTTTTCTTTTATAGCAAGAATGAAGGTTAGAAGAAAAATACCAGTTTCTATGAATTATCTTCCTTATAATTTAATGATTGAATCCAACCTTTAGGATCTGCTACTTGAAGAGCTATTGCAAGATGCTGTGCAATTGTTCACACAATGAAGTTTTTTACCAAACAATTTCACATTTCTCACATCTTTACTTAGACGTTTATAAGCAAAGAAGTTTCTTTCCATCAAAATAAAGAATAAAAAAGTTAAAACAGTAATTACTGAGGTGCAATGAATTTCTATAACGACCCTAAATCTTTAAAAATAAAAGAAATATATACACCAATATTAAGTTTGATATTAAAATTTTCATTGTAACTAGAAAATTCAATACATTTGATTGAACGGATGATGTGCTCCTAAGTAGATATATCATACCAAACCCAATCATATTTTAAATTCACAAAAATTCTCATTAATTTACTCACTGACAAATAATTCTTTGTAATACCAAAGGATCATTTTGAAGTGTGAATAATTAATCCAATTTATCTGATTTAAACCCTGGAATTTTCATGCTAGGTATACCTGTATTCTATCTGTGCACAGCAAGATAGAAATTTAAATTCCTTAATAACAAGCACAATACTTCATCTAAATAATCATACAGACAGATCTCTGCTGCTATTCAAAAATTTTATGAAAGGAAAAAACATAAACTCACTAACCAGCCTGTTTTAGTAAAAGATTTCCTTTTGGAAAAACTAACTTTTTATTTATTTCTGACACTCAGGTTCCAAATGCCCTCTCTACTGAGATATAACATGATCAATGGGAATCATTATAAGACCTCAGAGGATGGAAATTCACACAGAGTTCATGAGAGAAAAGTCACCTTTACTTGCCCTGATCAAATAGCTCCTACTATATTGAACAGGAAAAAAAAAACATCTTGCACTTACACAATATTCTATGTTAAAAGTCCACACTGCAGTTAGAAAAATTTCGTATTTTATTCTTTAAAATCAGAGTCTTGGCAAAGCAAAATATAGAATCACTACTATCTAAAAAGAAACCCTAAAACATTTCCTGTTTAAAAGATTGAAAGGAAATGTTTCTTCTTAAAGAGACAATATTTTTAAAGAAAAGAATTACATGTTAGAATAGCAATTTAAAGTTACTGATTTAATGAACCACAAGTTGTATGAGTATTTCTACTATAATCTAATAGACAAAGAAGTTAAATTTGGGAGAAACATTTGAAAATTAGTAATATTTCAACACAATAGGAATCTGTATGCCATGGATGAGCAACTGAACGTAAGTAACTCAAAATTTTTCATTGTAAGATGGAGAATATATCTACATACAAACGTTTTCAGATAAATCAATAATTAAGCACCATTTCTATTATCTCTCCAATATACATTTTCTAATATTTTCTCCTGTTCTGTCCCTACCAGATAGTTTAAACCATTCATTGCTTGGAAACTGTTATTATCAGAAAGAATGTTGTATGCCATAATGATCTGTATGTTTAAAAACCAAAAGCTGAATTTTGTGCTTTACAGAGAAAATGACCTATATTTTTCATTCTTTGCACTTTTCTCCTTAACGCTGAAATCCCATGTCAAAATGAGCAGGAGTAGAAAGCAGGAATAAGTTTAAGATTAAAAGAAGAAAGTGCCACTTGAACCACTAAATGAATCTTATATAACTCCACATTCCTTTTTCAGACAGGAACTCAAGTTTCTCAAATGGTGATTTCCCACATCACAGAATGGCAATGATAAGACTGTATAATGCAAAATTGTTTTTTAATTTCATCATTTCATTTTCATCTTCACTTCTAACTCTGTGTATTCTCTCTAATTTCTTGGCTTGCAGCTACACAAGATTCAAACTCCTTTACCTGCCCTAACTGAAGTGAAAAGAAATACAGCTCAAAATTTAAAGCATGTATGTCTCCCACATTCTTACCTTCCTCATTCTAATTTCAAATATTCAAAAAGCTTTTTGAATATATAATAATATCATTAAAATAATATCTGTAGCACACCACATCTGAACAATATCTTTGTGCCAGTCTTAAGGCAAAGAACAATACTTCTTACTTTCTTAAAAATATGTGAACAATTCCCTGCTCTGTGTGCTCTGGGCAACTCTTGGTCTAGAGTGACCTGGTGGCTATGTACTGGGCTGAGCCAGCACTGTGGCTTAGGTGGAGGCTTGGAGCAGGTAGAAGGCAAGCAAGAGTACCTATGGGAGCCCGCTTGGCTTCTGCATGGTGGGTTGCGGATGCAGAGCACAGACTATTTCGAGGCCTCACCCAGCCTGCAGGTTAGCATCCACCATGAACTGCTGCATGTGGACCATGAGCATACCAGTTGTTAAAGAGCAATAGTAGAAGATGGAAAAGGTCAAAGATGCTAGATTTTTCAGCTGGAGCCACTATTCATCTCTTCCACCACCATCACTGGCTTTTCCAAAAAAGCAGAACATGAAATTGCCATTAATATTGAGCTTTTAAAGGAAGTTCTGAAGAAAAACCATAGAAGGCTGTGACCACAGTTCCAGCTTGGGTGAGGTGGCTGTTTATTCATGACTGAAGTGTTGACAGCGCCTATATTGAACAGTCTCACCAGATGTTCCAGTCCAAGTCAAGGTGGGATGGATGCTGAATTGTCAAAAACCAGCATGAACTCACAATAGATTGATTTTAAAGGAGCACCTATGGGCAGCAGACAGTACACTTTGTCTCATTTACTCCAGTAGCTCATTAATTTATGCTCTTCCTCAACAGACACTGAAATCCTAGAAGAAAAGACTTCCTAAGGCTTCATATATAATGTTATTTTACTCATCTTTATATGCTTGGCTTCTCATACACTCAGACACATATAATAAATTCTCACTATATGAAAGAATAAATCAATGTGCCTATGAGAGAAAGCCTTGTTTTGGCAATCCATAAACTTTCAAAACTACTTTCTGGTCTCCAAGCTCCAGCCTGCAGTGATACTTCTTTCTGACTCAGAAGTCTCCAACGCCAAGCTCAGTGACACTGACTACACGGGCAGGAAGGAAGCAAGCACTTAAGACCTTTCTTTCTGCCTCCATTTATCTCTCTCTTCCTGTACCATTTTAGTCTTAGAGATTTTTAACATTCACTTGCTCATGGGTGCTTAATAGCTCTTAATAAACTAACACCTATTTTATCTGCTATAATGTAGTAGAATATGCTTTGAAAGCAGACACATGTGGGTTCCTATATAAACATATCAATTACTAGCTTTGTGAGCCTAGGTACTTGTTTTGACCTGCTGGACCTTGAGTTACTCATTTGTCCAGTGAAGATGCTACAAAGGTTAATGACATAGCATATGGACAGATGCTTGTCTCAGTGCTTGGCATGTAACAGATGTCTCATCAATGTCAGCTCCACCCTGCTTTGATGGCTTACAGTGATTAGAGGAATGAGAGAATCCTACATGTTAGGATTGGTCATTTAAACTGAAAGGAAAAGAAAGAGAGACAAGAAAGGAAAAAGAAAGCAACAAGAAAGAAAGAGCAACCCAGCAGATCACTCTAACATGAATCAAGTCATTATTAACTTTTCACTGACTGTATAAAACATACTGATACTTTTAAGAATGTCACAAGTGGGTTTAAGAGAGAAACAATTCCACATAGGCTCTATAACAACAACAGATTTAGATTATTTCCTAACTAAAATTGGTACAGACATGACATTTAATTGAAAGAGATTTCTTCTCTGCTGAGGGTTGTTTTATAGTTATATCACTGGGTGCATTTGAATGAAATCAGGGCTCCTTTATGGATTGTTAGTTTGCTATCACCTGAGAGGTTACCTACATGGAAACAAGGGGCAGAATAAATCCAGGATGGGAGAGTCGGGTAGCTCCCAAATACAGAAATAACCACCTTGGGAGGAGTGCTTTTCTCTGCCCCTTGCCCCTTATTATTTTTGCCCCTTATTATTTTTGTATAATCAATAAAATTTATTAAATTTATTAATGGTAGAATAAAAATTGCAGGGAGGTCAGTTGTAGAAAAGGGAAAAATATGTGAATAATTCTTGCTTTGGGGGTAAAAAGAATTACAACATATGTGAACTAGATACACAAGTGTGAGGTAAAAAGAAAACATTTCATTTTCATTCTAATTGTAAAAGTGAATACCTTCTGTCCTTGAACTCCATGCCCCCAGCTGGCCTTAAACTTACAGCAATCCTCCTGCCTCAGCCTCCCATATACTAGGATTATAGGCAGGTACCACCATGCTCAGTTTAATTTTAAAAGGAAATTTCAGTGACACATAATTATGGCAACTTAATGAATCCATGTTACAGTTAGCATTAAGCCCAACTAACTAAACATTAAAAAATCTTTCCATGTATGCTGTGAAGTTTGGACACATAAAATACTGCAAAGCAAGTGAAGTAGTCATCAGTGACATTTTGAACTTGAAGCTCTGTGAGATTTAAGAGTTTTATACACACACACCTGCAAACTTATGAAAACTTTACAAGGTTTCTTTATCCATAGATTTTTTTTTCATCATGTATTTTTAAAAATCCAAAAGACAATTTTTAGGGTTACATAATAAAAGAATAATTTCAAAAGATTCTAATTATAATACAAAGTTCACTAAAATATATAGATGTACCAGTTCTCTAGTTTTCTGGTCTGTACAGTTTAACAGTTATAAGCTAGCCCATAATATATATAAGCTATTCATGACACCAACAAATGTTTACTTCTGTTACTGTTGCCAGAGAATATGTGTCTCTTATAAATACTTTGAAGAAAAATTCAAAATAATACACTTGAACAATCAGCCCATCAAATCTTCCCACACTTCCCCAGAAAGTTAAATTTTTCCTAAAATCTTTCAATATGATAGTTCTTAATTTTTCTTCTGTGAGATTTGTCTCTTTGTCTTTCTTTTTATTCCTAAGGTCAAGCATAAAATTTGACTTTGAATTCTGTTACATTCTAATGAAAGATTTTTTGAAATATTTTAAATACTTTTATTTCATAACGCTTTTTAAGTTAATTAAAAGTTAATTAAGTTGCTTTACCTTGAGTTCCATTCAATCTTCTTTTCCAAGCTGAGACTTCTGAAACCTGGAGAAATTTTTTCAGAAAACCAGTAACTTACAAAATGGAAAAGAAACTGAAAGGTGAGAAAGCTGGTACAAAAAGTGCTGATAACCAGTTTAGTGTCGGTCTCCATATTTCTTCAACCTGGTAAGAGAAACAACAGCTATAAATTACTACCTTACAATAACTGTTTTCATTTAAGAGTATATACTTCTGTTTTTAGAAATAAAGTCAACTACTAAAGCCAATTCATTAGAGAAAAAACCAATTTAGCTCAATGTGAATATGTAAAGAAACTACAAAATTTTGAACCTTCTACATTTCTTTCTAAAAAAAAAATCTTACACATGTATTTGAAATAAGTAAAAAAATCTATTATTTTAAAGATCTCAATATTATAAATTTCAGAGCACATTTTAAAATCATGATATTCAAAGTTATCTATGTCTAAGAATTTGGCATTAAGAGGGAATTTAAATTTTATAATTTAATTTAAATTATTTTTAAATATAATTAACACAAATTGCACAATTTCTGATTCATTTTCATCATCTATAAGTTGAGAACACTGATTAATTTCTAAGCACCAATCAAGTCAAAAACATACCACATTTTCTGCAATAACAAAGCAAAAAAATAACTGGATAGCAAAAAACAAATTGTACATGTACATATGTGGGACAAAAATAAAATTGAAACAAAATTTTAAATTAAAAGTTTAATTAAGCTGGGCAGGGTGGCACATGCCTGTACTCCCAGCACTTGGGAGGCTGAGGCATGAGAACTGCTTTGTATTTGAGGCCAGTTTGGGCTATACAGTGAGTACAAGGCCCACCTGTACTACAGCAAGAGCCTGCCTTAAAAATATTTTTAATTAATTAAAACTTTAAGAGTAATACTATTAGAAAAGAACCATACTACTGATTACTGAAATTAATATTTTTTTCTTAGATCAAAAACCTCTATGACATTTTCTCTCTTTAAAAACATATTTTTAATAAAAGAGCTTCAGGTTTTAATGGTAGGAACAGCAGAAAGAATAGTAATATTCATACATATTCACACATATATACCCAAAGTATGTTTTCTAGCTCAGTGAGTTGAACTTTATTTGGTTCCTAAAAATCTGAAGAACACTCAGGCCAAAAAATAATAATAAAGTATTTGCTCATATCCAGCAAATATAGCATTTCTATGGCTCGTTCTTTCATACAGGTGATCCTCAAATGAAAAGGAAACAAATCAATACACATTTCCAGCTGCCTAATGTGAAGAAATAAAGTCACCTACTGAAGCCAATTCACTAGAGAAAAGCCAAGTCATTGACTGCATGAGCAATAACCCCACTTCATTCCCTTCCAACCAGGATACCACAATAACAGTCAGTCTCCCACAGGGTCTTCTGACAAAATTCATATGACTGTAATGAATTCCTATCCTTTTTTTTTTTTAGTTTGTGTGCTTGGTAAAATTATTAATATTGCAATTCTTCTCTGTGAGACTCCATTAACTTTATGGCTCACTTTTTTTAGTTCAATATGTGTTTATTAGGTATTAAAATTTAATTTATGGCCTTTTAACCTAGGTTTACTATTAACCAAATACTACATAAAAGTAAGTTTTGTACATAAACATCATCATAATTTGCTATGGGAGCTATAAAGAGGAAATATTTTTCTAAGATTAAAGAAAACAGAGATCTGGAGTCGGGTGGATAGATAACTGAAAAAAATAGAACCACTCAGCAGACAACAGTGCAAGTCTAGTCTTAATGTGAGAGTCCTTTGCCCGGAAGGCCCTGGATGAACTCTGTTGAACCTAGAGCAGTAGATAGGCACGGGCTGCTCAGTTACTTCTGTTATAGGTCAACCAATACCATGAGCATTTTAAGACTGTTTCTTATAAGTTGTCATAAAAACATGACGTGTGAGCAAAATTATGGTGAATGTTTAATTTTTCTAAAGTATTACAGTAAAAGACACATTTTCATTAGTTCCCCTTAAAACATTCCCCTTCCTTTCAAACACACTTATCCTATGGCTCTTGCCACTTTCCAAAGCAGTTCTGGAAGTCCTTTTTCACCCTGAGTTGTATTTTCATAGCTGCCTCGATGTTCTGAATCAATTAAACATATTTCCTTTTATGGTCAATTTGACTTTGGTAAAGACCCAGAGGTTGCATGGTGCCAAATCTAGTGAATGAGGTGGATGAGGACACGCCATAATGGTTTTATGAGACTGTCTTTTTGTTGGATGGCATTTGGCAGCTGCACTCTTGGACTTCCGAGATCTGCTTCAGAAAGTGGCAAGAGTGATGGGTGTGTTCAAAGTGAGGAGATGCAGACTGAGGAGAATTAAGGGTAATATGTCTTTTACTATAATATTTTTAATGCAAGATATATTCTGAGCATACATTTTCACCATATATTTTGATATCATGCAACATTATACAGTTTATGAATTGTTAATTTGACTAATTCATTAAAAAGTACTCAATTCAACATTATGAAATCTATTCTTTTCCCTAAAATCTAGTCCTTATTAGGTCCTTGTTAAATTGGATGAATATTTTATATTTTCAATTGACTTATTTTTAGTTAGTCTTTGGGGTGTATGCTGAGAGTCTCTCTTTCAAAAATGTTCCATTTAAAACTAAATGAAGTGCTCCATATATTCAAGCTACAACTGCTATTAAAGGTTCAACAGACAGAAGCTGATTAAATTGTCCTTCTCTCAGCATTGCTTCTTAATAAGCAGCTGCTTGCTTAACCAGTCACGCCAAATCAAGAACTAATCCAGAGATTTTTACAAATGTCCCCAGAAAATCGAGACTTTTGGATAGAAGCAGCTGCCTCATTCTCTTTCGGAGTTTCAAAGAAACAAGAAAATGTAAAACTGGATAATATCAAATGATGCTCATTAGTAATATACATAAAAGGTCTTTTGGGAGTTTGGTGATTATGAGGCATAGGAGTATACTGTACAGCGAAAGTGGAGAAGGGTTAGACCTCACACATATACCCCACATGTAGCTAGCAGTTGGCAGAAGACTGAGAAACTATCTCTCCTAGAAAAGGGCTATGAAACATGTATTTGAAATATTTCTGGCATAATTTACAAGAGTATCGAGACATGACATCTGTAATATGATTATCCCATCTGGATTCACAGAAATTGTGGACACCAGAGAAACCCTTCCAGAGACCTGCTGGATACAATGATGTTTCTATTTTTCCCCAAAGGCAGGATAACCTTTAACTGAAGCTGGCTTCTTAGTAGTAAAGAACACAAAAGGGTTTGAAGTAGGCCTATTCACTCTCAGCTGTGAAGGCCCTTCTCTTCCAGCAGGACACCCATAGAGGCAGGGCCCCCAACATGGAACTGCCAAAGCTGACTGGTCTTCACTCAGCCACATCCAACATCTGTACGTGTCTACTGTATATCAGGCCCTGTGTTGGCGTTGGGTATGCTAAAGGAGAGGCACATTTACAAGCCAGCAAGGAAGCACAGAAATTGATTCTCAGCACATAAAGCGGTAAGTTCAGGGTGCTAAGGGGATACTCCCTTTTCTCTGGGAGGGGGGCAAGTAGATATGACCCAAAAATAGTGAAGAGATAGCCAAAGATATTCAAAATGATCCAAGAGGATACTGTTTCTTCTATTAATGCTGTGCTTTGAGGCCAGAGCCCAAAAGACTCCACTAGATGAGATTAGCACTCCCTCAGCCCCAACCATTACTCTCATTTCCTTGTTAGTTATTCCCTTGGCAGTACAAGAATTCCTTGGAGAATCTGTCTGAATTACCAATGCAATTCCATATATACACACACGCTTCTACTTCTTCACATTCTTATACAACAAACAGGTAAGAACCACATCCGTGCAGTTCTGCAGTAAAAAACTCTTAGGAAGGGAGGAAAAGGTCCTTGTGTTTATCTTTGAGGCAAGCTGGGAAAAACATTTATCTTCCTCATGCTTCACATACCTTTTCCAACTCTTAGTAAGCTTTTGTGCCTACTCTCCAATCTCATTCCAAAATGTATTCAAGCTTTAAAATCTTCAGTTCTGCCTCTCCTGTAAGAATGAGATTTCTTCCCACTTCACACAGAAAAGGCTACCAGTCATGCATTCCCTCAGCTTGGCAATCTTTACCATCTCCCCTCACTCGTACCCTGAACCTCTTTCCGCACCCTATAGGCTCTCCAGTCCACACTGTCCACACTGCTCATTCTGCATACAGCTGCAGCCCACCGCAAGATGCATGTGGTGGATAATCCGCCAGCCTCTAGAGGGTTCCATGTGGGCATCTGGAGGCTCAGGACTGCTATGAATTAGCCCAAGTTACACTTAACCTCAAACCATCCCTTCCTCTATGGCTCTTTGTCTTGGTGAATGGTACCACCATACACGATGTTGCCCTGACTCCCAACCCAGAACAGCTCAGTCATTCTTGGTGCCTTCCAATTCCTTTCTCCCACAAATAACTGACTGACAAATCTTGGTAGACTAGAGAATAACAAATGAAGGATAACGGAATGCCAGCAAAATTTTGAAGTTTTTAATGATAGCCCTTTAGATAACACAAAGATGTGACTGGATGGCAAAATTAAGTAAATCCAAGGCTAGTTAAAAAACAATAAGCTGTATGTAGATCAATAATATGCAGTAGATTTGAGAAACATTTCCTGATAGTTTTTAAGGTTTCTCTTTTTAAACTTGTTTTTCAGTATATTTTAATAAATACTTTATTTTAACTACTTAATAAACAAACTACACAAACCTGGGAAGATAACTAATATGTTGGGTTAACAGAATCAAATTCAAAGTTGTTTTTATTAGCTGAAATATTGAATCCCAGACACAAATATAAAATAAAAATAAAACTTTTAAAAAGCCCAAATGTAGAATTCAGCATAACAGCTCCCACAAAACACACAACCTTAATATTCCTGAAAGTTAGCCTAAAACATGAGGTGAAATCAATGCAAGACAAAGTTTAAGAAAATACCAAACACAAAATCTTCAGTCTCATTTATAGACAAATAGGGTGAAGTTTGTATTTCAATCAAAGTATGAGTCCAACTTTACTTGGAATTAATCATATCAATTAATCATATCCTGAAATACCTTTAGAGCAGTATGAGA